ACGACCCTGTGGATGTGTGAGCATGGGAATGGGGCATAGGCCAATCAGGAACTAACCACATGTACAGGCCCCTCCCTGGACTCCAAAGTGAGAAGTGTGCTGTGGGGTGTGTGTGTGTGTGTGTGTGTGCGCGTGTGTTGGGAGACTGAGCTCACCTTAGAAAGGGATTTCCAGGAGGGCCTAGCCTGGAGCCTCTCAGATAAGGGAAGCCCATCTTCACCACTTGAGAGGTCACGCCATCCCCTGACTCTCCGAGCGCCCCCCACTCCGAATCCTGCGGGGCGGGACAGGGCGCCCAGCCAGATACTCGCAGCTGGGCGTGCGTCAGCGCTGACTCACCCATCCGGCGGCCCCCGGGACCCCTGAGAGGCCCCTGAGAAACTCCTCGGGAAAAACACCCAAGGCTCCAGCAGCTGGGGTTGGGGGGAGCAACTTCCACTCCCGCCCCGCCCTGCGCCCCGCCCTGCGCCCCGCCTCGCCCCTCACCGCAGCCCTCCCCGAGGCCCTGTCCATGGTGCTGACAGCGGCTCTGGGGAACGCGGGGTGGGGGAGGGGACAAGAGGGAGGGAGAAGATGGGCGCGTGCCAATTTGGGGCAGAGGAGGAAAAGGGAGAATGGGGCGAAGCCATTTAAAGAGACGCAAAGGAAACTGTGGGTTACCGAAGAGCACCCTATACTTGTCCCCACTCAACTTCACCCTCATGGGCAATTATTTGCACCCCAAAATCACAATTACACCCCTCAGAGGGGCACTCAGAGACACACAATCACATCCACAACCACACACACGGTTACCCTCGAAAATCAGCACATAGACAAGCACACACGTGCGACTCACCTGTCGCAATACACGCACTCAGCACTGCCCTGCCACTCATAGTCACACTATCGTCATCAAGCCGCCATGCAAGCACACACGCAACTTCACTCCAAATGCACACACATGGCTACACGCACATGCACACACGCACGCACCTGCACACTGCATGCATTCCCGCGCGCCCGCCAGAAAACGCAGTCACACATTCCCACCCCCACCCCCGAGCTGTCACACCCACAAATCGCCCAAAGTCGGACACTCAGGCGCCCACATCACACCAGGGCCGCACACAGCACGCACACCCTCCCCCTCTACGCCCCTCCTCCCCTCGATCTTTTAGGGCCTCTCTGAGTGGTGTACCCTGGGTCCCCTCTCTCTTCCCTCCCGGCTCACCGGCCTGCGTCCCGGACAGAAGCTGCAGCGCGGCCAGGAGCAGGCAGAGACCGGCCCGCGGCTGGCCCAGGCCCCGGCAGTTCCCCATCCCTGCGGAACCCACGGGCAAGGCGGGGGACCGGACGGGGCGGCAGCGAGGCGCGGCGGCTCCTCGGGATCGGTGCAGTCACTCGCGGCGGCCGCTCCTCTCGGGGTCCTTGGGAAACTGCTGCCAGAGACCCCGCCCCGGCCTCGCCCTGCGCTCCAGAGCCCGGCCAGGCGGGGCTCGTTGGAGGGGGGCCGCTGACAGCTGGACCGGGGAAGTTGGGAAACTGTGCTGAGCGCTGATTGGCCGGCTGGGGTGGAGCCCAGCGCCAGGAGCTGGGTTGTTCCTGCCCCACCCCATAGAGGAGAAGGGTCACTCCCACCCAGCCCTAGAGTTCGAGGGTTCCAGTCTTACTCCAGACCTTTTCCGCCTAGGAGATACCCTCAAAGGAGACCTTAGCCTCATTCAAACCTTCAGCTTCCATGCAGGCCCTAGAAGCAGGGGGAGGTGCAGTTTTATACCAAATCTTTTAAATTTTCTTTTATTTTTACATTTTATTTTGGAGGCAGAGTCTTGCTCTGTCACCCAGGCTGGAGTGCAGTGGTGCAATCATAGCTCACTGCAGCCTCCAACTCCTGGGTTCAAGCCATCCTCCTGCCTCAACCTCCTGAGAAGCAGGGACCACAGGCACACACTACCACACCCAGCTAATTAAAAAAATACATTTTGGCCGGGCACAGTGGCTCACGCCTGTAATCCTAACACTTTGGGAGGCCGAGGCGGGTGGATCACCTAAGGTCGGGAGTTCGAGACCAGCCTGATCAACAAGAAGAAACCCCTGTGTCTACTAAAAAGTACAAAACAAGCCGGGTGTGGTGGCACGTGCCTGTAATCCCAGCTACTCGGGAGGCTGAAGCAGGAGAATCACTTGAACCTGGGAGGTGAAGGTTGCAGTGAGCCTAGATCATGCCATTGTACTCCAGCCTGGGCAACAAGAGCTAAACTCTGTGTCCAGGGAGAAAAAAAAAAAAAAAAACGAAAAGCATTTTGTAGAGACTGGGGTCTTGCTATGCAGCCCTGGCCGGTCTTGAACTTCTGGCCTTAAGCGATCCTTCAGCCTTGCCCTTCCAAAAGGCTGGAATTACAGGCATGAACCACCCCACCTGGCCCCAAGTCCTTTCTGCTTCACTCAGATCTCCAAGTGGGGTCCCAACCTCACCCTGAACTCTCACTCACCTACCTGCTTTATCCTCAGTCCCTTAGCTGCAAAATAGGAGGTACCAGCCTCAGCCCCAAAGCCTTCCTTCCGGTCCCTACGGGGTCCTCATCCCACCTCAAATCTCATCCAGATCTCAAATGGGATCCCCAGGCTTATCTCAAATTTTCATCTCTCCACTCAAATTCCCAAGTCACGTATCCTGGCCCCAAATTCTCAGCACAGATACGAGAACACAGTTTTCGCTTTTCCCCAAATTCTTGATTTCTCAAATAAAGGATCTCATCTCCATCTCTAACCCTCATCTCCCCCCGACCCCAAGCCAGGCCTCCAAATGGATGCCCGGCCCCAATCCCAAATCCCCACCAAATAGAGGAGTCTGAGCTGGGAGCAGTGGCTCATGCCTATAATCCCAGCACTTTGAGAGGTCGAGGCGGCCAGGTCGCTTAAGTCCAGGAGTTAGAGACCAGTCTGGCCAACATGACAAAACTCCATCTCTACTAAAAATACAAAAATTAGCCAGGCATGGTGGCTGGCGCCTGTGGTTCTAGCTACTTGGGAGGATGAAGCGGGAGGATCACTTGAACCCAGGAAGTGGAGGTTGTAGTGAGCCGAGATTTGCCACTGCACTCCAGCCTGGGCGACAGAGCAAGACCCTGTCTCAAAAAAAAAAAAAAAAAAAGGAGTCGAGGGGGTCTGGGGTGTGAGAATCTGGCCCTGTTGCAAAGCAGGGCACAGCTACCTGGAAGGAAGGGGTGGATTCTTGCCATTCTTGGGGTTAGGCAGAGGCCCCCCTCACTGTGCTGGGACCCCCACCTGCAGCATGAAGAGGCCCCCAGGAGGTCAAATAGAGATTTTGTGCAACTGGACAAGCACAGACACGAAGGTTGAGAGGGTGCTTCCCCAGGGAAGGGAGGAGCCAAAAGGCGTATCCTGAGCCCTGAACTGCTCCCTGAACCCTGCTCCCCCCACCCCTGCCCCAGGGGAAGAGTGAGACGCAGGCAGAGCCTCCCTCCCAGCCTCTGACTCCCCAGACAAAGAGTCTCTGTGTCCCTGAAGAGGAGGGGGTGGGGCCCCATTAGGCCTGATGGGGAGTTGGGGGGCCCCCCCAGGGTGGGAGGAGGAGAGGGACTCTCTGTAAGCTGCTCCTCCTCCTCCCTCTCCAGGGGCATCCGAGGCTGAGACTTCTCCAATTAAAAGGCTCTCACAAAATTCCTGCCCTGCCCTGCCCTGCCTTGCTGGAAGTTCTTCCTATAGTCTAACTGCTTCATCTGACCGTTCTACACCCCTTCCCTCCATGAAACCACACTTCTGGATCCACATTCTCTGTCACATTCTCCCATTCTCTCCCTTCAATCAGAGATTCTTCACCGAGAATACAGACACTAATTCCCCCCAGCTTTCACAAAAACTCTCCCAGTACTAAATAATTTACACTTGGCTGGGCGCAGAGGCTCACCCCTCTAATCTCAGCACTTTGGGAGGCTGAGGCAGCTGAACCACTTGAGGTCAGGAGTTCAAGACCAGCATGGCGGAGTTCAAGGCCAGCTTGGCCACATTGGTAAAACCTTCTCTTTACTAAAAATACAAAAATTAGCTGAGTGTGGTGGCAAGTCCCAGCTACGCAGGAGGCTGAGACAGGAGAATCACTTGACCCTGGGAGGCAGAGGTTGCAGTGAGCCGAGATTGCACCACTGCACTCCAGCCTGGGTGACAAGAGCAAGAGTCTGTCTCAAAAAAAAAAAATAATAAAAAAAAATAATAATATACTACACTCATAATAAAAATAAAAATTAAGAAAACAGGCCGGGTGCAGTGGCTCATGCCTGTAATCCCAGCACTTTGGGAGGCCAAGGTGGGTGGATCATGAGGTCAGGAGTTCAAGACCAGCCTGACCAATACGGTGAAACCCTGTCTCTACTAAAAATAGAAAAAATTAGCTGGGCATGGTGGGGCGCACCTGTAGTCCCAGCTGCTCAGGAGACTAAGGCAGGAGAATCGCCTGAGCCCGGGAGGCAGAGATGGCAGTGAGTTGAGGCTGTGCCACTGCACTGCAGCCTGAGCAACAGATACTCCGTCTCAAAAAATTAAATTAAATTAAAAAATAAGAAAACAGTTTACAAATGGCCAAGGCAAGAGGATAGCTTGAGGCCAAGAATTCGAGACCAGTCTTGGCAACTTAGCAAGATCCCATGTCTAAAACAAAATTTAAAAAACTAGCTGGGCATGGTAGTGTGCACTGGTAGCTCCAGCTACTCTGGAGGCTGAGGTGGGAGGATTGCTTGAGGCTGCAGTGGGCTGTAATGGTGCCACTGCAGCTTGAGTGACAGAGCAAGACCCTGTCTCTTAAAAACAAACAAACAAACAAAAACCAGTGATGCGTATAAAAGGTGTGGAGAAGAAATTTTGGGCAGATGAAGAAAACAAGGTGCAGAGATTTGAGATTCTCTCTGACTCTTCAGGGTCAGTCCAGAATTGACGGTCTCCAGGGGAGGGTGGGGGCTTCTCCCTGCAGGGGATCTGTGGGAGGGGGTTAGGAGGGAGCAGATGAGCTGCGGATGAATGGTGAGAGTCAGGTGCTGCCCGGCAGAGGTCACACGTCCAGGGAGGGGATCAACATGGCTGCTGCACCCCGGACCGTACTGATCTCCGGCTGCTCATCAGGAATTGGTCTGGAACTTGCAGTGCAGCTGGCCCATGACCCCAAGAAGCGCTACCAGGGTAAGAGGTGCAGGGTGGCGCTAGGAGGCGGCAGGGTGCAGATGGCTTCCCCAGCACTGTCTCCCCTACCTATCCCTTCCAGCTGCGCTTGTGGGCTTGGGGAGGACCCAGCAGGCATGGGGTCTTTCTCTCCCTCCAGGAATCATCCCCTCATCCTACAAATATTTCTTGAGCACCTTCTGGGTGTTCTGAATGCTGGCAACACAACTGGGGATGAAATAGACGAAAATCTCAGCCCTCAGGATGCATGTCATAGAGCAGGGGTATGAGAGGGAGGATGCGCGGTAAACAGATGAAAAAAACTTGTTGCTGTGTCTGGTGGGAATACGTGCTGAGAAACAAAATAAAGCAGCCGAGAGTGGCGGGGGTGGGTGGGTGGTATTTTTAGAAGGGTTTCACTAGGGCACTCCCAAGGTTGGAATAATTACCACCCTGATGCTCACTCCTCCACCTCTCCCCAGATTACTGATTTAATGAGATAAGCTTCTTAAGTGCTCCTGACCTTGGGGGTTGAAGGGATGGCCTTCTAGTTCTAGGCACTTGCTTCTCTACAACTCTGACATAAATCCCTGGGACTGCATCCTAACCAACCAGGAGAACCCTTGACCCAGACGGAGCACACTGCAGTCAAAGTGGGCAAAGGGTTGTTACTTACAAGGCGGTGACTGGGAGTGAGGGCCCTGCCCCAGTTGGCAGGGCCGCTTCTCCCAGCCCTCCGTCCTCGGTTTTAGAGACACTCACAGCTTTGAGCGTGAGAGCCTGGATGCCAGTGTGCAGGGAAGAACGTGCATCCCTGTGGGCAGGCAGATGGGTGTATGAACCTGCTGCAGGCTAATGCTGACTGAGCTTTTACAACGCGCCAGGCTGCATCCTAAGTGCCCTGCATCCAGGAAGTCATGTAAGCCTCACATCCTGCCTGTGAGGCAGACACTATCAGCCACCCCAATTTATTATTATTTTATTATTTATTTGTTTGTTTGTTTGTTTTGAGTCAGAGTCTCACTCTGCTGCCCAGGCTGAGTGCAGCGGTGTGATCTCAGCTCACTGCAACCTCCACCTCCCAGGCTCAAGTGATTTTCATGCCTAAGCCTCCTGAGTATCTGGGACTACTGGCACATGCCACCAAGCCCAGCTAATTTTTGTGTTTTTAGTAGATGGGGTTTCACCATGTTGGCTAGACCAGTCTCAAACGCCTGGCTTCAGTTGATCTGCCTGCCTTGGCCTCCCAAAGTGCTGGGATTACAGGCGTGAGCCACCGTGCCCAGCTGCCCCATTTTAGAAGTGAGGAAACTGAGGCACAGACTGTCAATGGTCTCTCAGCTGCAAAGTGGCAGAGCTGGGATTTGAACTCAGGCGACCCAGCCCTTGCATCCATGTTTGCCACTATATCGCATGTAGATGCAAGTGGCCTCATTCATGTGGCTGCTACCCACGAATCACACTGGCCCAAAGACAAGATGCAAATGCCCCCAGGAGTGATTATGGGTGCATACATCGGAGGATATCAAACATGTATGCTGGGGCAAGGGCAGACAGAGTACATATTCTGAGGTCTCGCTTAAGAGCATAAGCTTGAGGCCGGGAGCAATGGTTCACTCCTAAAATTCCAGCACTTTGGGAGGCTGAGGCGGGTGGATCACCTGAGGTCAGGAGTTCAAGACCAGCCTGGCCAACATGGTGAAACCCCTTCTCTACTAAAAATACAAAAATTAGCCAGGCATAGTGGCTCATGCCTGTAATCCCAGCTACTTGGGAGGCTAAGGCAGGAGAATGGCTTAAACCGGGAGGCAGAGGTTGCAGTGAGCTGAGATTGCACCACTGCCCAGCCTGGGCAACAAGAGCTAGATTCTGTCTTAAAAAAAAAAAAAAGAGAGAGAGCATAAGCTTGGCCAGGCACTGTGGTTCTCTGGACCCTCATGCCTGCAATTCCAGCCCTTGGGGAGAATGAGATGGGCAGATCATCCGAGGTTCAAGACCAGCCTGACCAATATGGTGAAACCCTCTCTCTACTAAAAATATGAAAAATTAGCTGGGTGTGGTGGCGGGGGCCTGTAATCCAGCTACTCAGGAGGCTGAGGCAGGGGAATTGCTTGAACCCGGGAGACGGAGGTTGCAGTGAGCCGAGATAGCACCACTGCACTCCAGCCTGGGAAACAAGAGTGAAAGAGTGAATCTCCTTTAAAAAAATATGTGGCTATTCACTTGAGTGTTTACATATGTACATATGTTGGCTATAGGTGTGTATGCATTTTTTTTCATGGCAACCTGTTTTATGTTTATATATTTTATTGTCTTACCTACTAGGCTATAAATTCCATGAAGGCAGACACTTTATTTATTGATTGATTTTTGAGACTGAGTCTCACTCTGTTGCAAGGCTGGAGTGCAGTGGCGTGATCTTGGCTCACTACAACCACCACCTCCAGGTTCAAGCAATTCTCCTGCCTCTGCCTCCTGAGTAGCTGGGATTACAGGCACGTGCCACCATGCCCAGCTAATTTTTTGTATTTTTAGTAGAGATAGAGTTTCACCATATTGGTCAGGCTGGTCTTGAACCTCAGATGATCTGCCTGCCTCAGCCTCCCCAGTAGCTGGAATTACAGGCACGTGCCACCGCACCTAGCAAAGTTTTGTATTTTTAGTAGAGATGGGGTTTCACCATGTTGGTCAGGATGGTCTCAATCTCTCGACCTTGTGATCCACCTGTCCAGGCCTCCCAAAGAGCTGGGATTACAGGCGTGAGCCATCTTGCCTGGACTTATTCTTTTAGTTTTTGAGTCAGGGTCTCACTCTGTCGCCCAGGCCGGGGTGCAGTGGCTCCAACTTGGCTCACTGCACCCTCAACCTCCTGGGCTCAAGCGATCCTTCCATTGCAGCCTCCCAAGTAGCCTGGACTACAGGTGGGGGCCACCCACCACACCTGGCTAATTTTTTTTTTTTTTTTTGAGACGGAGTTTCACTCTTGTTACCTAGGCTGGAGTGCAATGGCGCGATCTCGGCTCACTGCAACCTCCGCCTCCTGGGTTCAGGCAATTCTCCTGCCTCAACTTCCTGAGTAGCTGGGATTACAGGCACGCGCCACCATGCCCAGCTCATGTTTTGTATTTTTAGTAGAGACGGGGTTTCACCATGTTG